TAGCATATATTATACGTAAAGTTAAACGTAATACCAAATATACATACATATGTTCAATTTTATATTTAATTGTTATTGGTTGATCTATTGTCTTTGTAACACCCTGAAAAATTAATTGAGATTAATTAAGATAATTGAGATTATTAGTGTGCCTAATCTGGATTATTAATTGAGTCTTGATTAATAAATGTTTCTGACATGTGAGTTTAAATAGTTTCAAGGTATTTAAATTATTCTCAGTAATTTATTTTAAACCAAAAGTGTGTATAGGCGCATTTCTAGACTGCTCTTTTAAAATATTGGCACTTGTCCATTTTCTTTCCTTTTTCTTTTCTTTCTTTTTCTTTTCCTTCCTTCCTTCCCGTGCACTTTCTCTCTCTCTTTCACTCTCACTCTCTTTCTTCACTCTCGTGCATCCCTCTCTCTATCTCTCTCTCTCTCTCATTTTTTGTCCCAAATCAAACGGATCTTGAACAAAAGAAAGATTTAAAGAAGTTTTCAATGCCAAGAAAAGGATTCGAGGTAAGATTACTGAAATAACCTCTCTTGAATCTCAAGTTTTTGAATTTCAAAACTTTTTTTTGGTTCAAACCGGATTTTGATGGTTTTTGAGTAAAACTAGAGTAGAAATTAGAGATCTTGAGTTCTTTGGACTTGTTTTAGGACCTAGAACCCAGATCTAATGGTTTTCCTTTGAAATATCTCGATTTGGGACTGGATTTGCAGGTTTTGGATTGATTTTCGTGAGCTTCTCTCGCACAGCTGATTCCACCGGTCGACCTGTGCGGTCGACCGGATCACATGGAAACCGGTCGACCTATGCGGTCGACCAGATTGCAGGCTAACCGATCGACCGGTGTGCACACTACCGGTCGACCAGTAGTGTTGCACTGCTCTGTCACCGGTCGACCGGTTGACACGGGGTTTGACCCTGATTGGCCTGAACTTGCTGTTTTGACCCATGTTTTCGGAGAGAACCCAAATTAGCTTCATTTGGGGACTTGAGATAAATGGATTAGCATTGTTAATCCTTGATTTGAGATTGAAAACTCTTGGAATGATCTTTTGAAACATGAAAATGGATTAGGGCACACTAATTGAAAATCTTGGCACATAAATGAGATTTGGATTGCTTTAGGAATGAAAATTGATCCTAAAGTGTTGACTTGCATCAATGATCGCTGAGGATTCAGACTGAAGAGGCTTGAGAAAGTGGAAGCCGGAAAAGGCAACGCTAGTCCCAGGTTTGATAGTGCGAGGTAGGATTTCTATCCCTTTTCTTTGTGAGCCTGTTTTCAAAAAGGATTTTGGCCTTGAAAATGTTTTAAAGAAAGGGATTGGTTTGTGAAAGAAAACGTTTTGAAAACCATGGCTTGTTTAGTCATGGAACCTCATGGCTTGCCCAGTCATGGGGCCCGCGGCTTGAGTAGTTCGTGGGGTCATAAAAACGATTTCAGAAAAGTTAATGAATGATTTCTTAAGCTAAGAAATCTTGTGAACTGGTAATAGAGTCTATTGCTGTTAGCCTAGATAGGATACGGAGAGTGCATCCTCGGGGGCAGAACTTGAAACTCGATCCGGGTAGGCGAGGCACTTGGTTAGGTAAGTAATTTGCACTAATTACTTGCTGGAGCCTGTAAAACGGTTATTTTCAGTTATATTTTCTTTGAGAAAAAGGATGTGAGGTTCCGGCTGTTCTGTCGGGACTGAATATCTAATTTTATTTACTTATTCATTCATTTATTTACTCGCTCATTTATTTATTCATTTATTTTAAGTCATTTCAGATTATATCCTACTGAGCCTTTCGCTCACGTTTTATGTTTCAAATGTATTAAATCCCTCCCAGGAGACTCTAGGAGCGGGGCACTGTAGCTGGATAATTGCTACAGAGCAGCTGAGTTGTGCTGCTGTTGGAATCAAGTGGGGATCGTGGACATCCTCTTGGACAAATGTAAGGAATTTGAGAAATTCTGTAAACTTATGTAATATTTGGATTTACTAGATTGTGGTTGATGTTTGTTGTAATGATTATTTACATGAGCATGTATGTACGATACTGTATGTCCTGTGGGGTGGAGCCCTGTGTGTCAGAGGCTCTGGGATTATGTAGTAAGGGCTCGTCTGGGAATCTGATTTGTTAATCCCTAATCGAGCTCCACGTCACCCACCCCGTTTGGAAGGGGGGCGTGACAAGAGTGGTATCAGAGCCCTAGGTTAAGAAACCCCATGATTGTACATACATGTGTGACATCTGTAATCCACTGAATAGTCTAGTTTTATTTCAATTAAAGGAAATGGCGCCTCGTCGTAGGCCCGCTAATCAACCGACACAACAGAATCAAAGATTTCTAGATGCCATGTATGATGCCTTTCAAGGCATGGCCACAATAGCTCAAAACGAACGACCGGTTGAGGATAGGAAGCAAGGGTACTTCCGGGAATTTAGGCGTGCGCCTATCCCCTCGTTTAATAGTGAGGGAGGACCCCAGGAGGCAGAGTTCTGGTTAGACTCCATAGTCAAGCATTTGAGTACTATGAGAGTTCCAGATGAATACTTGGTGGAATTTGCGGTATACAAGATGGAGGGTTTAGCCAATACCTGGTGGAAACAGGTTAAGAGAAGAATAGATGTTGCAGGGCTGACCTGGGAGCAGTTTGAGACACTATTCAATGAGCAGTACTTCCCTCAGAGTTATAGGGAGGAAAAAGCGCTGGAATTCATGTCTCTGCTGCAAGGTGACATGTCTGTAAGGGAGTATGAGGCCAAGTTTAATGACCTGTCCCGGTTTGCGCCATCTTTGGTGGAATCTGAACACCTTAGATGTCTTAAGTTTGAGAAGGGCCTCAAGAACTCTGTGAGGAGACCATTGGTGGCTTTGAGAATCCAGAATTTCTGAGATTTTGTGGCTGCTGCTACTAGGGTGGAGCATGATAACATAGCTTATCACCAGAGTAAAGAACAAGCGGGAAGAGTTTCAGTTTCTGGGGGATCATCTGCTTCCGGCGGGCCACAGTGAAGTAGTAGAAGGAACCACAACTAGGGACAGCCTGGTGGGGGAGTGGTTAGCGGTGGCAGTAGTTCGTCAGGAAGTGACAGAAGTGCTCCATACGGGCCTAGGTGTCACCATTGTGGGCAGGTGGGTCATATTAGGAGGAATTGTCCTAATCGACCGCCGGCTCAACAAGCCCAAAGTGACGCTTCCTACAGTCAAGAAGGGCCACCACAGTATATGCCACCATATCAGCCACAACAGATGCCATACCCTCCTGTGCCGACTTATCAACCACCCCCGTTTACACAATTTCGGCCTCAAGCGCTGAGACCGGTACAACCACCTCCACCACAACAGTATAGGCCTCAAGAACTCATGTCTGTAAGGGAGTATGAGGCCAAGTTTAATGACCTGGTAATAAAAACGATTTTAGAAAAGTTAATGAATGATTTCTTAAGCTAAGAGATCTTGTGAACTGGTAATAGAGTCTATTGTTGTAAGCCTAGATATGATGCGGAGAGTGCATCCTCGGGGGCAGAACCCGAAACTCGGTCCGGGTAGGCGAGGCACTTGGTTAGGTAAGTAATTTGCACTAATTACTTGCTGAAGCCTGTAAAACGGTTATTTTCAGTTATATTTCCTTTGAGAAAAAGGATGTGAGGTTCCGGTTGTTCTGTCGGGATTGAATGTCTAATTTTATTTACTTATTCATTCATTTATTTACTCGCTTATTTATTTATGCATTTATTTTAAGTCATTTCAGATTATATCCTACTAGGCCTTTCGCTCACGTTTTATGTTTCAAATGTATTAAACTCCTCCCAGGAGACTCTAGGAGCGGGGCACTGTAGCTGGATAATTGCTACGGAGCAGCTGAGTTGTGCTGCTGTTGGAATCAAGTGAGGATCGTGGACATCCTCTTGGACAAATGTAAAGAATTTGAGAAATTCTGTAAACTTATGTAATATTTGGATTTACTAGACTGTGGTTGATGTCTGTTGTAATGATTATTTACATGAGCATGTATATACGATACTGTATGTCCTGTGAGGTGGAGCCCTGTGTGTCAGAGGCTCCGGGATTCTGTAGTAATGTAATTATATTTTAATGCAGTTGAGTGAGACTCGTCTGATAATCTACTTTATTAATCCCTAATCGAGCTCCATATCACCCACCCCATTTGAGGGGCGTGACAGTCTCTTTCGTTTAATAGGCACATTATTGTTGTTTTCTAGTCATTTAACATTATTAGTGTACTTATTTATATGTTCCAAAGCTTAGCAATTATAACAATATATAGATATAATATTAAGCTCATAAATCATTGTTTGCGCACGTAATAAAATTTTCAATATATATATATATATATATATATATTTTCCACAAACAACACTGCTAGTCTAGGGCCGGGTATTGTCTAGGGAAGATAAGAATCCGATATCCATATGACTATGCATTATGAGAGTGAGACAGTGGCTTATTTTCCCTTTTGTTGCGTTGCCCCTGCACAGATTGAGACTTTTGGATAGAAGCCAAAACATTTAAGAAGGACATGCATCATAGGGACCGCGAGCAAAAAGTCATCTACTAGAAAGAGGTATCAACAAATTATTCATCAATCCAACAAAACCAAAAGGGTCTCCTTCAAGTTTTTTAATTTTTTATATATTGGGTTAGCAAAAGTTGAGCAGTGAAAGCGAAGACATTAATAGAGAGGGATCAAAGAGAAAAATCCCCCATTTTCTTATGGGACCCACTTGAGAAATCCCCTTGATTAGAGAGGCAACCAATGAGAAGACAGGGATGTAGATCAAATGCCAAAGGTTGGCCAATCAAAAATTAGATAAGGCCTTATTGTGGACCCAAAAGTGCAATTCCATCTGTGTAAGGAAACAAAAGCACAACGAGCCACAAAAAAAAGTGCAACTCATCACTGTTAAATAGACTATAAAAGCGTTCTATGTGGGTCACCTCACATTATAAAAGTCCCCCGTATATAACACTTTCAAATGTCACCCTTTTTTCCTTGGCACTTCTTAACAATCATTCATCTCTGAACATCCACTGTTTAGATTTTAGATCATGAGTTGTTCTTACAAGAATATTCACAAAGTAGTCTCAAACGGCGTCGTCGGAGGCAAAACCGCCAGAGCATGCGACAACTGCGTGAAGAAGCGCGCGCGTTGGTACTGCGCCGCCGACGACGCGTTTCTATGCCAAGCCTGCGACCTCTCCGTCCACTCGGCCAACTCCTTGGCTCGCAGGCACGAGAGGGTTCGCTTGAAAACTGCGTCGTCTTCTTCACTAATTAAACCGTTGCCGACTGAAGAATCGGATCTTACGGCGCCGACGTGGCACCGGGGCTTCACACGGAAGGCCCGGACACCGCGGAACGGAAAGAACCACGTGACCCACCCGAAGCTGCAGAAGAATCAGTCACGTGACCACCACCACCACCACCAACAATTCGATCCTCTCGTACCGGAGATCTGCAGCGACGAGACCTCGCATGAAGAGAATGAGGACCAGCTTCTTTATAGGGTTCCGATTTTCGACCCCTTTGTGGCCGAGCTTTGCACTGCAAACTCGGCGAATTCCAATGGATTGATCGAGTCGAAAGCGGTTTCACCGTCGGTCAACGATTGCGGCGGTGCTCATGAAGTTGAGAATACTAATATGCAACAGTTTCTTCCGACGGAAATGGACCTCGCGGAGTTTGCGGCCGACGTTGATAGCTTGCTAGGCCGAGGGCTTGAGAATGAGTGTTTCGGCATTGAAGGCTTAGGGTTTGTGGACTGCGAAGAGAAGGAAATGGGAAGATTGGTGAAGGTCAAAGAAGAGGAAGAAGAAGATGAAGGTATAGCACTCGTAATAAATTAATAATAGTACATTGGTTATTAGCTATTAATCAGTTGTTAGTGATTTTTAAAATTGCTTTATTTCTTCTATAGGTAAAGATTTGAAGGGTTGTAGCTGGGTTGAGACATCATCGACGGATATTGATATGATGAGACCGGAACCGCTCGAGCTGAATTTTGAGGACTATGAGGATTCTCCGGCGTTGTGCGACGAGGAGGAAGATCAGAAGGTAGCATTGGTAGAGGCCGACAAGGCGGTGGCAGAGGCGGAGACGAAAAATGATGAAGATGAGGAGAAGAAGGGCAAGAAGAAGAAGAAGAAAAAGAAAATACTATTGAGGTTGGATTACGAGGCAGTGATTACGGCCTGGGCGAGCCAAGGGTCACCGTGGACCACCGGTGACCGGCCCGATTTCGACCCCGATGCCTGCTGGCCTGACTGCATGGTTAGTAGTTCGTTTTGCCTGCAGCCCTTTGTTTCGGTTTGAAATTACTAATCAGACTGTGCAGATCTATTTTAGATCTTTTGTGCTAGCTAGTTGTTATTGTTTGTTTTTATCCTTCTTGTTGTTCTACACTTTGGAGGTATGTAGAAAGAGGGAAATTTCTTTAGCTAAGGCTTTGGACCACTAAAACTAACAATGCTAGTTCACATATGGACACTCCAATTATATCTGTATAATTCAGTGAAAGGGGCTTTCCTGGCCCATGCAGCAATGCTTATGCGGTTTGGTCACCTTGCAAATAGTGAAATTTAATTACTAGCAATAACCATTTGATATTATCATGTGGGACAACGTAATTAGACCTAAGATTTCGTTTAAAGTAATTTCCTTCTTCTGCTTATTGTGCTCCTGAAGTCTTTTGACCTCTACTAATTAATATTGCTAAATTAAATACACATACATAGGATATGTAATTATCAAAAACTCATCCATATATACATATATGTAGCTACCTGTTTAAATACTTTTGTATCATTCTTTTGAATACAATACATTTTGTTTTCGAAGAGCATCCTTTGTCATGCATCTAATTCTCATAATTTGGTCGGTTTAGTTCTTTAGAATAAACTATGAAATCATTTGGTTAAAAGTTAAAACAAGAATGGCCTCTAATTAGGTTGACATCTATTTGTATTGGATAATTTGAATTTTAATGCATGAGTTGAAGTTTTCTTTATTAAAGAAATTAGTAGACATTGATTCAGTATTTGTTTATGAATCTAACAGGGTACATATTATCCAACACAACTCCATCATCATCAATATATGGATTTGAGTGGAGTTGAGTTAAACCCAGCAATATTGGCCGATGGAGGGAGAGAGGCAAGAGTGTCGAGGTACAGGGAAAAGAGGAGAACTCGTTTGTTCTCGAAGAAAATAAGGTACGAGGTTCGCAAATTGAATGCCGAGAAGAGACCTAGGATGAAAGGAAGATTTGTCAACCGAGCTTCTTTTGCAGGACCTACTTTTCCAGCCATGCTTATAACTAAATAGTTAACTTCTTTTGCAGGACCTACTTCTATAATATCCCCAATTTTGCTTTCAGTTCTAAACTTTTCAATTTCGTGTATACATATCAACTGAATCAAATAAAATTTTTGTCTGAGCTAAGAAGCTTATTATGTACTATATGTTCCTTTACGTGCATAAACTCTCCCTCGCAAAACGTTACACGTGGATTTGAATATTAATAGTACTGTGCAAATATGGCTTCGCATATATGCGATTGAGAAAAAAAAAAAAGTTAAAAAAGTGATTGAGAAATCTCCAGAGAAGTATACAAAGCTAATATACACAAGTCATTCGAAATTTTAATTTTAGCACAACTCGAATCTTGTGCAAGAGTAGATAGTAAATACACAGTACGCAGCACACAAATACAGACTTTAATATAATGTAAATCTTTGGATAGCTTAGAACAAATGTTATTGAATGAAAGCAGTCATTACAGCGAATAAATTTTCCTCTTTTTAAGCAAACCCACAGAAGCAATATTCACTCTTAATTAGGAAAAATAATAGCACTTGACCGAAACAAAATTTTAATCAATTATCAAATTACACCATATATATAAAACAATAATTTTTTAACAACGTCAGAAGAAGTTAAAATTTGGGCAGTCCAAATTATGATTTTATTTTCTTCGATAAATCAGAGACATATTCCACGTGGGAGGAGAAAATTGCATTACAAACGAATTATCAAAATGGGGTTTTGCTAACCGCCGAGGGTCGTGGTGTAGTGGTAAGGATATTTTTGTTAGGTCTCCTTTACCAATCCTTTAAGAATTTGATATTTCGCACCCGTGTGTTACTACTCTACCCTTGTGGGAGATTAAGTGGGCCTCCTCACATGATGAATGAGAGTGAAAACTAGTTGTATGGTCAGTGGAAGGAAAAAAAAACTACTAAAAAACACAACCATTTTTTAGTGGGTTAAGTTAAGGGACATGATCCTTTTTTTGATTAGCAGAAAAAAAATAAATAAAAAACACTTCAGCTAATTATGGGTTTAATTGATAGAAGTACTGCAACCGAGTAACTGTATAAAAACAACTAATCATTTCACTCTTATTAGTTCGCATATTTGCAAGTACACAAGTATACATATATGTATGAACTGAAACGAATAATATCTTATATCCGCGTAATTAACCTCTGGAAAAGATCTTGCAATAAGTCTTGGGAGGATGATGGAGAAATTCCTTATCCATTTCCATGAGCCTGGCTTGGTAGAGACAAATTTAATCGGTAAAAATTTGATGGCGAGAGTGGGCCACGCAATAAATTTGAAACCTTGGCATTTCTCTCAACTGATCTTTGGTTAGCTTGGCGTGAAGGGTCCCCATATAATAATAAGACCGTGTTCATTTCACGAATTCGAGTTTAAAATTTGAGATATGTTATAGTAAAAAGCTCTAAAAAATAGTCATATCTTACATAAAGTCACATCTCAACTCGAATCAGCGAACTAAACGGGTCCAAGTCAAGCTCAATTTCGGCAAGAGCCAAAATATATCGACTGTGAAGTGTGAAGCGTGACAGTACAAGTAAATCCATGGACAAGCTAGTAATTATCTCACGACCACAAACATTATTTATTTATTTATTTTTTTGGTTTAAACTGGACTTCTTTTTATTTATTTTGAATGACGTTCTCAAGATTCAACTTCAAATTGAAATTCATTTTAAATTTGTGTCTGGGTCAATTAATTTGATCACTCAATTAAGGAATATATCTTTAGGTTAATTTTAATTTTAACTTTAGAAAGTGGAGGTTGTCTCATTTGGCCCACTACAACTCAAAATGATACAAAACTGCCACCGAATCTTTTAGGCTCAAAAGGGTTGAACCACTTTACCAAACACACTGAATTAAGTGTATTTTCAATCAATTCACAGATCGGTGAAGTTCGGTTTATGGTTGTTTTAGCAATTTTCAGTTTTAGTAAGCTAGTAGTTTACCAGCTGTTTACCAAAAGTAGTCATTAAGTTTCATATATTTTTCATATCCATTCTCTACTGGACAAGCCTAAAAACCAATCATTTATGGACAATATTGACAAATACTCCTTAAGAGTGCATGAGTCAAGATTTTTACTTTTTATTCTTGATTCATAATCTTTTTAGTTAAATAATTACACTAATAAAAAGGTATTTATTAAGAGTAAGGAGTAAAAGTTTAGACTCATGCATTTTTAAAGGTAAATTCTCTATTTTTCTTTTAAGAGTAATAATACAATTTATCAATTGAAGGGTTTTCAATTCAAAAGTCATGAACTTCAACATTATTTTAATAAACCAGAACATGAAGTTCAAAACTCAAACATATCCTTAGTGCAAAGATACCAAATGTTAGATTTTAAGTTCAAATGTACCAATTACCAACCATAGTTCAAGTGCAAAAATATAAATAAAACTAGTTTGGAACTGATACCTAAATCCAACACCGACCACCGAATCACACTTCATGCGTTTGGATTAACCGACCAAACAGGCCGTTGACTCTGATGTGGACTGACTATATCGCTGATTGGACCCAAACGGGCCGTTGATTTTAATGTGCACTGACTACATCGCTGATTGGTTTTGGTTTCCCTGTTTTTCAGAACCTTATTATTTGTAAAACGCAATATATATAAGAGTACGATGGTGATGGTTACAAGAAAAGGTATAGATGTCGTCAGTTAGGTTTAGTGCGAGCAACAATCATGATTTCTAAAATTCTAAAGTCTATTTTGCTTATATTTACTGTATTGCCCTTTTCCAAGCAGGTACTTGGCATACATGTAAATCCCTCATAAATTGGCGCGTCAATGATAAAAATGCTGACATTGAAACTTATTATAGGTTTAGGGGAGTTTTGTGACATTTTGAATTGTAAGAAGCAAAGTGAGATAATTGTCATTCTTAATCTTTAGAGTTAAACTTGAAATTAGCCCTATATCCATCGTAGTTTATGGATAAATCTAAAGCCAGACAATAAGTAATGAACTTATCTTCTGCAAATTATCTTAAATTTTTTTTTTTATAATTTATTTAACATCACGCCCAATTCATGTGTGTTTATAGGCTTATATATAAACTACAAATGGTAGTTTTTGAATAACAGGTTATCAAGTATGGTTTAATAGGTTATTTCACGATGGCTTTTCAAAAATGTCTATAACAACAGTTTCTTGAAAAATTGTCATCTAAAGTTTATGAAAACAAAAAAACAAAAAAAAAAAAACTATTGTCCTCCATGCGTGATGTGTTTTTTAACTGAATATTTTATGATAAATTTTGTCGAAACCAAGATTAAGATGGTTGTTTAATGTATAATCTGCATTAGTAAAGAAATATAATTTATAGTTAATATATTACAAAATAAACAAAAAATTATATACATGTTACAAAATGTTTTATCAAGAATCCCAGATGTTGTAATTAATTATAAGAAAACGTTATTTCACCTATAGATCTATCTAAGAAAATTCAATTAGACAAACAATAAGTTTAAGCAATAGATGCTACCAAGTATATGATCAAGATTTCCTAATTATAAGCAGACTAGGTTTGGTCTAAACCAAATCTTCACATAGCTTCTATAGCAATTACTAGCTTCTTTGGCAATTACGCCTTTCCAACATGCACTACATAACTATAAATAAAGAGACAACCCGACACAAGAATCGCGAAGGTTTAAAAAACAGATGAAAAATTTAGCCAAACCAACATTCGAAATTATTTAAAGATTTACCCATATACAAATTTGTTTGTTCCCATAAGTTTATTAAGGTAATTTCAATATATACCTCCAAAGTTTTAACTTTTTTAAGTATTTCTACAAGTGAGTGTTCAAGATTTGATGTTTTTGTTTCAATCTCATCTTTCTGGCTGGAGAATGATTTTAAATAATTCCTTTATTACCCCATTATTGTTTATCGAATTGAATTTTGTGGGTGTTGTACATCTCCACGTATTCGATAATCTAAACACCATTTCAATTTCATTTCATGGTACGACGTCGTTTTAAAGTCACTCTAGCTTGTTTGGTTGCGGGAGTTAAAGATCCGTGATTGCCATGGCCTTCCTCGTTTCGCCCTATCACCCCTCCCAATCAAGTCACACAAGATTAGAGGCCTTCAGATTTATTAAGCCCGGATAATAACAGTCGTCGGTGTGGAATTTGGAGTTAATTCAGAACACTTTTCTATGTATGGATGCTAAATTAAATTCGAGTATCATGGTTGGCCTCTAGAAGTATCTTGGATCGTTTATTGTGGCATCGACGGAGGGAAGTGTTGACAAGAAATAGTCAAAATTCCTATGGCACTTAAATGTTCCCCAGAAAGTTAGCTTTTTATTTGGCCAGCTTTTTACAACAATCTCCCCACCGCGGAGAACCTCTCTAGTCTTGGAATTTCTGAATGATATCGGTGGTGGACTGGTGGTTCATGGGGCTTTGTTGCTCGCGCGTGTAATAAAGCAGGCGCAATTTGCCTTCTCTCTTGATCATGCTAAACAATTTTGGTTAGGGAATTTTTCTGATTTGTATTTCATTCATTGTAAGTGTCGAGATGGCTATTGCTTAATGACATTCTCCATTCCATTTAAAAAAAAAAAGAATCATTTAACGCACCATTTTAATTACTTAGGGTGCTCTTCTTGCTAGCTGCCTTTTTTTGGCCAATGACACAGAAAAATTGAAATTCAATGCAAACGCTAATATAAATAATATATATGATACTAAAAAACTTAAAAATAATAATTTGATATCTTATATATATATATATATATATATTTGTAGTACTCCACGAATATGTTATTTCAAATGTTGTAGTTACTTTTTATTATATTATCATTAAGTTTTGAAAATTGCAAAAGTAAACTTTTTTTAAGGGTAAAAGTAAACTTTTAATTTTAAAATAATTTAAAAATATCATTATTAAGTAACTATTAAATAAAAAAGTAAATACATAGATTAGAACAGAAATCAAATGCCAAAATTTATCACATGCTATTTAGTGTCAAACTCGTCACTAAATAGAGCATATGCTAAATTTAATTAGTTCTAAATAATATTCTATTGGAGGATATTTTTCAACTTAAATTCTAAAGTTTGACAATCGGACACTAATTTGGCACTGTAGCTCTTAAATCTATAGGATTATGTTGTAGTTTTTTTCTAAAAGAGATGGAGTAATTTTCTAAAAAAAGTAAAATTAGAATGTATACTTTTGTAATTACCCCTTAGTTTATTAGCTTGAATAACCTAAAAGGTTAATTATGAGATTTCCTTAATTATATGTACACCTTGCATCACTCTTTTTCTCAACAAAATAGTACAAACTAAGATTATATTCTTCGCTATGGCTTTTTCTTAAATTATTTAGAAGATCATAAATGACGCTCCCACCGAAACAGATTCACGGATCTGCAATTGATAATGGCATTATTCGTATAAGGTAAATTCTGATCTCGAGTTCTTGATGTTATTTAAACTTTCGGTGAACAATTCACTTCACACAACATTTCCACGGTTCCCATTAACTTACAAACCTAGTCAAATTTTATTCCCTGTCAACATTTAGATTTTAGACTTAGTCCGTTCTATTCACAACTCGAATTAGAAAATTTCAAATAGAGTTAAGTTTTCAACTCAAATTTGTATTTGGGAGTAAAAAATAAAGAATTATTCAAGTTAAAAACCCAGTTCGGTTAGTCAAAGAGTCAAAAAATTCGAGTTAAATTAACAGTGCCTTTTCTTTCTTCTATCTAATTTCAAAAATTCGAGTTAAATTATAACTTTTTTGTTTCAACTCCGGTGGAGACGTTTGTTTTTATACATATATACATACAGAGTGAAGAGACGAACAAAATCTTATCCATATACTCCATTAAATTATGTCGTCATCATTGAGTTTCTGTAAGAATGCCGTTCAAACCCCTTTAAAATTTTATAGTTTAAATTAGTTCAAATCGTAATTCTAATTTCAATTTTATTCTTAGTTCATATTTGTTTTTTTTTTTTTCAAACCAAAAATTTCAAATCACATATATAATTCAAACCGTGAAAAGAATGGAGCCTTAGACTTTAACTGCAGATCCCTATTCAGTTCAGACTACAATTTAAATCGTATCGCTTAAATATTTCTATTTAAATCAATACAATTTGAACCAACACATCAAAAAGAACTTATTTTTACTTTAAATTTGCATTTTAATTTTTTGAACGTGGGGTGGGGATTTAAACTATATCTTTATGGTGGAGTAGATATGTAATAACCACTAAACTATGCCTACAATCACTAAAATTACATTTTATGTGCCTATTCAAACGCCGGTTTAAATTGCAATTTGAATACCTCTTTTCTGATTTTACAGTTTAAACCAAAATATTGGAATGTTATAATTCCAACACACGAACCAAACAAAGCCTTAGCAAACCTAAGGGGACCTCAACCAATCTTTACAATATATTTGACAGCTTCTTTAGTAATCCAACTTTGCCAATGTGTATTTTTTTTTTTTTTTTTTTTTTGTGAAGAAGAAGAAGTCCACATGGAGAAGTAAATGCAACGAAAGTTTGAAGCTCTCACAAACTCCTAGGGCTGGCATGAGCGCCATGTGTTGACAATCACCTGCATATCACGGCGCTGCGTCTGATCACCGCAGTTCCACCTAACTAGTTCTTGCACTTTTTGCATGCCCCACTTACAAACTAAAGCGAATTAACTTTTATGGACACTTTTAAGTAACTATGATCATCAGCATCATCATTGTCACATGATCATGGAAGAGAATCTGAACCAAATAAAGGAAAACGAAAATGAAAGGAGAGTAATTTTGGGAAATGTCTAACTTCTTAGACATTTTTGGGGAATAAGATCGGAAACATCAATTCTATCTTTCTTATTATATATCATCATATTTCTCGACCACAACGCAAAAAATGTACATACATTTATACATCTTGCGCAAAACATCTGCTCTAATAAGCTCTTATCCTAATAATCTGTGTATACCAAAAAAAGAGGAAGACCCCAAGAATACCCAATTTCCCATTTTGCTTAAACTTTAATAAAAAGAAAATGGGCATGCTTGCTAGTTGATTTTTTTAACGAAAATAAAAAGACCAAAAAAATAAAAATAAAGCTGATTCTGAGCCGCCAAAAACTGCTTCCCCCTTGCATTACTGCATCAAAGAACACACCCTCCTTAATTTCCCCAACAATGTCAGTCCCAGAATATAGTTCCAGTTTAATTAAGCCAAGCCAAGAGTCAGTTCCAAGCCAACCTCTCTGTCGTCGGCTCGGCTAGGCTCGGCTCGCCGAGCCAACGAAGCCTCAACCGTCTCAACAGAAAACATGCTCTCGCGATCCTCGCAGCTGGTGCCATTGACTCCCTGCGCCGGGCAGGTCCACCAGTAGTACTCATGACCCGCGTTCAGAAAGCGAGTGAAATCCGCGACGCCGTTTGAGCCGCCGACTCCGAACTCCGAGCCGACCACCAAATTCCTGTGCTTGGCCGAGGTTCTCTTGAACCGGTTCCGGGTTTTAACCACTTGGTTCAGCTTCTGATCAGCGGACTCAGCCGAGGAGTCCTTCGCCACGTGGCGTATGTCGCAGGACTTTAGCGGAAGTTTTGGATTCAACGCGCCGCCGTCGCCGCCGCCATCTCCTGTTATCGGCATCCCCGCCAGCACCGCCTCGACGGCGACTTGGCACTTTTCCCACTCGCCGGACCACAGAAGCCCCACCGACCCGTATATAGGGTTCACAATCCTCCCACATGCCTCGTACAGCAAGCTCTTAAAAACAGCTGCTCAAAATCATTAAAAAAGTAATTAAATTTCATTCAAAATTAACTGATGGAATCGGTTACTCTTTAAGATTGACTCTCCCTATGCTTTAAGGTCTTTAGACTCGTGTCTTACTTAGTGTTTGTATCTATTTGGGATATAATTTTCCTTTAAGAAATGAAAATTCCATTTTGGTTGTACAAAAATAAGTACAATGCGATTCTCTTTCCTTCTTTTTTTTCGCTAGAATTAAATAATACAACGTGATTTAATTTTCCTAGAAACGTTGGGGTTTTTTTCTCTCTCTCTCTACTAATGCTTAGTAAATGTTGAATGTTGTGTTTATATATAATAATAGTAAAAGACCAAAACATGAAAATTAAGAGGAATTACCAGGACGGAGATACTCAGGACCGGCGTCAATGAGGTTAAGAAGGCCAGTGCGGCCATAGAATTTGGCGAGAAAGAGAGTGGCATGGGCTTGGGAATCAGGGGATTTGATCCACTGAAGACAAGGTTTGATGGTGCAGTTGTCGCTGCATCCCTTGCGAAGAACTCTACACCCATTGCAGCTTGTCCTCATAGCTTTTTTATTTTCTTTTACGTTTTCTCGAGAAACAAACAGCGAGCAAAAAGGGTATATATATAACTCGGAGGTGGGGTTTGGGCGGCGCAGCAGAAATATTATACGGAAAATGTACGGAGATATGAAGAATGGGAGCTCTGGATGGCTGTATTTAAAGGCAATGTTTTCGAGGTTTTTTCCCTGTTTCTTTTTTTTTTTCCCCTCTTTTTACAATGGGAAATTTTTTGGGAGCCAGTGGTTTCTGAAGAACTACACTCAAAACCAGGGTTCAACATCAACTATACTGCCTTTTTCTTGTTCAGGGAAAAAGAAATGTGGGACCCTAAAAAATTCGCCAGATTGCCTTGGATTTTATTTTGTTTTAGAATTACCCTACATGCACGACTAAATTACATAAATGCCACTGTTACGTTTTTAATATGCTTCAGCCTCGTTCATTTTACTGATTTAAATTTTTAATTTTAATTTTGTTATAATTAAAAGTTCTTATAAAAAATTACATCTAATTTTTTCAGTTACAGTAAAAAATTCACATAAAATTGCATCTTAATTCAAATTTAAAACTCGAATCAACGAACCGAACGAAACCTTAGTATATCCCACCAAACAAGACAAGACAACAAGCAAAACTTGTTCAAATATCTTACTCTTTCACGACAATGTTTAATCTACTTTTGTTTTCTAGAAACAGTAATCCAGCAAAACTTGTTCATATTTGCTTTTGTTATTTCAGGTAAACGGTCCAATTTTTATTCCATTGAAAAGAAAATGTCCAATTCCGTTGAGCTGTGTGAGAAGGGCAGTTTTGTAGTTTTTAGTTATTAAAGGGGCAAATGTTTTCCGTGTCAGAGAAGAGGACAGGAGCAGCCAAGTGTGAATGCCATGCAATGTAACTGTAAACGGAAAACCGACACGTCCTAATCGTAAACTTGGCAGCTAAGAATAAATACTCGGCACGTGAGAGGCACGAGCTGGGAATCGGAAACCGGCTCACGCGCCGTCATCGAGTCGCCGCGTAACCGCGGAAAAAATATGAACCGGCGAGAAGAAAAAGGAAACTCCTGGCTTTCGGGAGAGAACCAAGTACGTGTGCATGCACGAAAACCGCCTTGTACGTACAAATGGTGTGTTTGGTGTCCGGTTTTGTGGGTCCGTACAACTGTGGGCGCCCTAAGCTCTACGCGCCAGTGGTTTTGGGGGAAATTAATGCAAAATCCGACCAGTTTGGGCTCTCCATATGTCCTCAACAAACAGAGATTTTCACTCCCTTACTTGCTGTCTTATTTATCCTTTTTTGGTTAGGAGGAATCTTTTGTGATACTTATTATTATGTGTATATATATCATATGTATATGTGGGTATGATTAATTATTCTTTTTTCTTTGACGATATTCAGACTCACCGGAGCAACTGTAACTGATAAAGGACTGGTGATATGCCAATGATGAGGTAATGATGTGTGAACATTTGAGTTTTGTCTTATAATTAGTCCGTTCAAATTCTACGGATCGATGGTTATTGGTCAGTTGATGATCATATGACAATGATGATTCATGTCTGAACATTTCACGAGTTTCGTTTGAGTCTCTCAGATTTTTAAAATGTAACAATCGTATGTTATCCCGAAAAATAAAATGTCAACGAAATAGCTCCTTTCCGTTAAGATTTTTAATGAAAGTTGACTAATAATTAACTTGTAATGCAATAATATAAGGATATTTTGGTAAATCTCTCTAGCCTTAAATCTAACTTCAATTTAAAACCTATTTACAATTTATATTAAATAAAAACCAAAACTTAACAAGTTTTTATTTTTCTTAAATGAAATTAATAATAATTAAAAAGAGATTATCTTCACAAGTTTTTTATTATCCGAGAGTAGTACCCTACCGGTGCCTAGTTTTGATTTCTTTTCTAAACATACCTAGCGTGGTTGGCGTTCATCAAGGTGTTCACATAATTTTCTTTATTATCAAGGTTTATTCTTATCTAAATTTCGAAGTTGATCAGGTCACTCATTTAGTGTGGGACTAAATTTTAATTGCAACCATCAAGTACCACATTCCGAACATTCTAACTCACAATAATAAATAAACCAAGCCTTTTTCTCCTAATTGACCATTTTCACGTTCAACTGCAACAAAATATAAACCAAGGTGCAGCCGCATTGGGCCCACTGGGTCAGCCACTTCCTGGTCCAACGAACTCCTTTTAGTTTTAGAGAAATTGTGTTGAGTAGCTTTAACCACCTCTTTTCATAAATTACCGAATTTTTCTTTTATTTCATGAAAATGGTCATTTTGTTTCCATAAGTTAATCAATGATTGACCTATTGACCACAGTCAATTAGTCTAATTGATTGATCGATTCATTATTAATTTATTAATAATTTATCATTAATAAAAATGTAATTTATCGATTGAAGTTGATTAAATACTAATTGACTTTGGTTAATTATTAGATAATGTTGATTGATAATAAAGAATAATCGACTTAATCAGTGATAAATTCAAGTCAATACTGATTAACAACTCAACTAAATCAATCTGTGATTGACCACTGAGTCAATCAATGATTGACCTTTAAGTTAATGAAAGTGACTATTTTTACAATTTTATAAAATTTAGGCCATTTATAAATAAATAAATAAAATCCTTTAAAAAAGACCATTTGTGTTGAAATCCCTTAATTTTAACGTAGTAAAGGATTTCAGTATAACTGTCCCCGAAATTGTCATAGCTTAGCAAAATGCCCTTTAAATTTTTAATTTTTACAATCAACCCTATGAACTTATAAAATTATTGCAGTCCATTTTATTAAATTTGCTCAAATTTTCTTATTAGATTTAATTTTCTTTGTGTTATTTTGATGTTTTTTGTGTCATTTTGTAGGAAATCTTAAAAATGGGACTTTATGGCATTTTTGGAGTAAAAATTAGAGCTTTTGAGCTTGAAGGGACGCAACACAGACCCTCACGCCGAGAGAGGTGCACGCCCGCGCCATAAGCAGTGCACAGGCCCCTTTCTAGCAGGTATTGATAGTCAAGTTAGATAGGGATATTAATTTGATTATTTGCACATATTATCTCATTTGACACTCGGGAGAGGTAGTGAGATTAATTTAGATACCCTCGATTATTGAATTGAGCAAAACCAATTGGCAATTACTAAATAGGAGAAACATAGAAAGAGTAGAGTGAAATCAAGACCCTAAAAATCATTTATCATTGACATTTCCATTTGTGATTTAATTCTCCGTTATTTAATTTGTTAATCCTCAATTTTAGTTTAAATAGTTTAATTGCTTTAATTTCTTGCATTTAATTCCGATTTTGGTTGCCTAGATAAAATTAAGGCGTGAAAACTCTAGTAATTAGTTTAATTTCTAAAAATTTAATATTTATAAGACGATGTCCGCACTCCTTACACTTTTTTACTTTAGCGATCTGTACACTTGCAGAAATCATTGCAACAAATATACATAATATTATTTCAAACTTAAAACCTCGTATAAACAAAAGTGAACTACAATACCAATTTCGTTAATAACTTTTTTGTTTTAAACCTTTAAATGTGGGTTTAACTTAGATCATTACTATATATATCTTAATTCAGAGTCGAAGGAAGGAAAATCAAGTATATAAACATATAAAAAACAGTGAAAAGGTGAAATTTTTTTCTTCAAAAAAGAATCATTCCACAATTTTTTAGTGCAAAATCTCCTGTTAACTCATGTTGACATGAAAATTAATAATAACTTCGTCATGCTACTGCTTGCATTTGGAATGAGCTAGCTTTTAATAGCGGTGTCCGTCCAGTCTAATAATTAATATATCTTTTGCCACGACCAAGTCAATCCAACAATATGCCTTTTCAATTAAAAAACAAATTTTTGCATTGCGAGTTAAAACAACATTTTTGAAAAAAAAAACAAAACAACACCAACCATGTACCTGTCTTGTTTTCTTTTAAAATCTTTTGGCTTTCTCTTTTTTATCTTTTTTTAGAGATTGATATAAAATACCTTATTTTTTTGAAAATAAATAAATAAATTTAATTTCCTTCAAAAAAAATAAATTTATTTTATTTTATGCATGAATTACTATACTTTCAATCAAAGGCGGTACCTTGCTTAATTTACACTCTAGACTGAAAACGGCCTTCCATAAAAGCAGGCTGAGAAAATAATCCAGCCCAAAACTTCACAATCTATCAAGAAGCCTAAATCAGAAACAACATTCTATTAACTGGCCGTAACCCAATATTAAGTTCTGATCATCATACTGTCCCTTTTATCTTTTCTGAACACACTCAAATCTATAATGTCTTTTGATCGTGGAATACTTTTTGCAGGGCCTCGAAATTATCCCAAAATCTAAAGATGCAAAAACGAAATAGAAATATGCGAGTTAGTTTCAAGGTGGAAAAAACAAAAACATGTACACGAAATACAGAGGCGTATGTGGAATGTTAAAATTGCATCAGTCTCCGTAGTAATTTACCATATTACATTAAAAAGTTACACGTTTATATATAAAAAAATGGGAGAAAGAGAGAAATAGACCAAGACTTGAGATGAATTAAAATTAATAGGTCAATAGTTTACATAAGTTAATAAATAGGCCAAATTACTGTTTTTGCCCATAACTTATCTGGTTATGAACCATAACTTGACAAGTTATTATCCATTTTTGTCCATAACTTGTCCGGCTATGAACCATAACTTGACAAGTTTGTCCATAACTTATCTGGTTATGAACCATAACTTGATAAGTTATGACCTATTAATTTCTATAACTAAAAGTTGGCCTATATATTTTCTTAAGCGTTTCATATTGACCTATTTTTTACTATTTCCGTAAAAAAAATTACACTTACCGAACCGTATGCCTACATATGTTAAGTCTAAATTTATAGGGCCGTTTAGTTTATAAATTTAAACGAAAATTAAAATTTTATAAAAGAAAATATTATAATAAAAAAATTAAACAGTAATTCAAATCTATTGAACAAACGGGGCTATAATGCTAACATCTAATAATAATGTCATCAAAATATAAATGCCTCATTTATTTTACTAATTTGAGTTTTTAATTTCAGTTTTATTACAGTTAAAAATTCTAACAAAAACTCACATTTAATTTTTTTTTATTATATTAAAAAACTCTCATATAAAATCACATCTCAATTTAAATTAAAAATTTAAATTCACGAACCAACTGAAGAAAGCCGAATATTCTTAAAACATAGTTGGACTTGGGCGGCAGGCGCGGTTAGGCCTTAGGCTGGCCCATCTACCACCCATGTGCATTCTCTCTCTCTACAGATGTGTAAGCTGAGACAAAGATAGCTTTCCCCACCGGACCCCACGCTATTATTTCATGCAGCTGACATCAACTGCGTATTGGGAGGAAAACCAAAAGTAAGCCATTGAATTATTTGATTTTGGACGCTACAAACAACTAGACTCTATGATTAGCAAAAATAAAAAAATAAAAAAAATAAAAATAATAAAAAAAACAACTAGACTCTATATATGTCTATATTATACCATATATATTACAGGCACATATATTATATCAAAAACCATAAAGTATGTCATAAGATTCTTGAGAAGTTACCAATCAAACATATACTTATTTTAACATAACTATTAAAATTGTCAAAATTTGACCAATATTTTGCAAATCCGTGTCCCCATTTCGCCCATGAAAAACAAAATTGTAAGAGCAGTAGTACTAGTACTATTGGAAGAAAAGTATAATATTAAGAGAAAAAATGTACGGTTATAAGCATTACATCGGTGAGCTAAATTGTCTTCATGAAAGAAAGATGAAAATGGAGTCAATTTGATTCCCGTGTCCAAATACAAGAAGACAAACGACATTACTGCGATACAATTGCAGCTTTTTATTTAAAACTTCTTCTTCGCCGCATAATACGTGTTTCTTTCCCACATCGGTTTCTCTGCTCTTTTTTTTTCACTCCCCGGCCGGTCGGTCTTCCTATATATGTTTTTTTTTTTTTTATTTACACACACATATATATACATACATACATACGTACATATATATAGAACATAAGCACCGAAAATACCAGAAAACGAGACTAGATTTTCTTGTCAACTATGTCTATGAAAAACAACAAATTAAGGCACTGTAAATATGGTGGAATGTCAAAATTACACGTTAAGCATGAGACCAAGTTCAACAGGCACTATATATTCTCTCTTTTTGTGCACTTGGTAGTGGGCAACTGGTAATAAGGTAAACTTGTCTTCATTCAATTCTTCTATAAGGAGCCAAAAGAGTTTTATGGGAAAATCACAAAAGTGTGGTACAAAGTTTAATTTCTGTGTTTGCGCTAGATTACAAGCACTACAGTCCATCTGCCATTCAGCTACGGATTTTACATTTATTTAACTATTCAATTAATTATGTGTTTTATCTATGTTTAAAAACTAGCGAATATTGACTTGAACTTTCACGTTTTCAAATCCCACCATGCTTTCCGAAAGTATGTCACTTGATTACCAACTAACCTCAGTAAGTAATATTAAAAGGTCAATGGAGAGGGAAGTAATTTAATTTTACAAACAAGGAGCTTTGTTTGGCTGCTCTTGATATAGAATATGCATTAACTTCTGTTCTACTTGCCCGAAATGGCATTAAAAATCATATCACGAAGACTAGAGATTCTTGCTCCGTAACATTTTTTTAACCCCCCCCCAAAAAAAAAAAAGAAAAAGAGAGAGAGATTACATTTACCTCTTCATTACGTGATTATGGACATAAGAATATGAAATTAAGGCTAAAGAATTCAGCAAAATGACTTCATAGCAAATATATATGTGAAATACCACTGAGTTGTGATGGCAGAGGTGATCTATCAGGATTCTCTCTTATTATTTAAGAAGCATTATGCCGTCTACAATGAGTCTACAATTATACCTCTCAGTGAGCTCGCCGAATATAGCTTTGATCTGTTACGACTTGGGCTTATTGTTGGTAGATAAAACATAGGCCAGGTTCAATTATCTTCTCACTTGTGGTCTTAATAAATCCCTCTTAAGGCATTGAATGAGACTATCAAATATACATATATGTGTGCGTAAAATGTGCTAGACTTCATGTTTCAGTATAAACCTTCTCCTATGTTTATCTCCAGCAACTAGCTGTATACCTAGTAACCAACCTCCAAGGGTTACAAAATTGTAGAAAGGCTATTTATTACGCACACATTGAGCGTACCTATGAATGTTAAATTAAAACAGAACATTGTATAAAATCTAATGACAGAGATACATATAGCTCAACTAACAGTGCCGCGTCAATACGTATATATTAATAGATAACGTGATCAGATCGTATGTGAAATTAAAAATTCAAACCTCAAACGTATATTTTATATACACAGAATGTAATGTCTCTAACTTCGAATAACTAGCCATAATTGATGTGGTTTGGAGTGGAGCTAGTTAGCTTAACTTGGTGGCTATTTTCTGAGCGATTTTTTCTCATTAGTTGAATTAGATAACTTGAACCAATTAAGCATCACATATTTACCATCAATTCCATCAATCATACGGCTTTGATGATCAATATTAATGTTACGAGGAAAAACCTATAGCACGGCTAAAATTATTACAATCTAAAGGAAACTCTTATCACATACGCCAAACACACAACCGCATACATATATATATATATATATATGTGTGTGTGTGTGTGTGTGTGTGTATTGCATTGACGAAAGTACCATCACGAAAGAGAGAAACTGAGTGTTCAATAAAAAGACAGAACACAAACAGCGATAACCGAAGCATGTTTTCACCAAAACGGGTCACCCTTTTTCATTGAGACTTGGAGAAACAAGGCAATATTTTATTTCTGCTGAGCTTCAAAAATATCTGTTGTATTGTTGCAGTGTAAAAAGGCTACGAATCCCTGTTTGTAAAATTACATTTCTGCCACTCCGCCCCTTATCTTTTCTTCTTCCTCTACTTCCTTTCCATCTCAAATAAATTAAAAAAAAAAAAAAAAAAATCTTGGAAACGGTACAAACAGAGATTCTACAGCAGTACAAACAGTCGTCACTCTAAAAACCAAATTCTCGACTTCTTCTATACACATCATATGATCATCGTGCATTTCTGGGTTCTTAATAACCGCATGCTAAAAACCAAAAAAAAAAAAAAATAATAATAATAATAATAATAAAGGATTTCTTGATACCAAAATACCCCCGGTTTTCCCACCTAAATTACAAGAGCCCATCAAATTGCTAACACTAGTATGATGAGAAAAACGTGGGTATTTTGGCCAGAATTCAACAAAATTTCCCTTAAGAAATAAACCAAGGAAAAAAAAAAGGAAAAACTATTCATGAAAGGAAATGAAGAAGACGAATAATTAAATTTTACTGGCTAGTTATGGAGAGGATCGGGGCAACTGGGCACTCGTCGTTTGCTTTCTTCAAACCCCTTTTCGGTTTGGTTGAAATTAAGATTTCTTCCATTGAAGAACCTATCAAAGAACTCTTCTTCACTGCTCTTCTTATGATCATTACTATATCCCATCGCTGTAGAATCACCACCGTCGATTTGCTCGACCTTCCACGTGGCATCATCTCCGCGGAGCAACCTCGCCGCACCTGCTTTGCAGCACTCACGGCAGAGCCAAATCTGCGACATCGGAACGATCAGCAGAGCCACAACGCAAAAGTACAAAACTACCCTCCTCCTATCGCCGGCAAGCGACATCACCGGAAAGGGTATACCCACATAAAGTCAATGGACAAATCCGTCCAAGTCCCTCTCTTTTTGCCCTTTTGAAATGAAGTGACCGAGTACAAAAGTACTTAGAAAGAAGAAAGAACACACACACACACACACACACACACACACAAAAAACCTCTCACTTTGATCCTTTTCTTTTCTTCTCTTCTCCGAGGAAAAAGATTAAAAAAAAAAAAAAAAAAAACGGTTTTTAAATCTATTATAGGTGGTTTGCTTGGTGTGGGTGGTGTTGACAACGCAAGAGGCTTTTGAGATTTTTATTCTCTTCCCACTCTCTCGAGGCTATGACTTGTGAGTGATGAGCAAATGAATTGACGGCTATTATGTGTAATACGAGTTTTAAGAGAGAGAAATACAGTGAGGAGAGAGAAATGGCAGATGGGTGATGGAGCCTCAATGTCTCCACACTGGCCCACGTGATGAGAAAATAGCAGCGGTCTATAATGTCATGTGTTTAGAGTTTAAAATATATTATAACTGGCAATAACAGAAATACATTAAAAAAGAATTATATTTTTTTTTTGCTAATAAAAAAAATAAAAATAAAAAAGAATTGTATTACAAGCTTAGATAGGTTCATTCAAACCAGAAAATTACGTACACAAATAGTGAGGGCGCGAATGACTTCAAGATATAGGGACCCAACCCCAAATAAAAACTGCATTCACTAATAATTTTGAATGAAAACCCTTAAAGAGGAGAAACGTATTCCAAATTCTAATGAAAGAAAATCAAATAGACATGTCAACTTTTGCAAAGACAAAAATTGTTCCTTCAACTGCACTTTATAATCGACGAAAATTTTTGACTAAATGAGATTAAGGGTTCGTTTAGTTCGTTGATTCGAGTTTAAATGTGATTTTATATGAGAACTTTTTACTGAAGTAAAAAATTAGATGTTATTATTTTTAAAAACTTTTTATTGTAGCAAAACTCGAATCGGTGAAATAAATGAGGCCTAAAACACCTATAACATTAATGGTTCGTTTGGTGCGAGAATTTAAACTATGGTAATTCTAGCCATGATTCTGGAATCAGAACCATGATTCATAATTTTAGGTTTAAATCATGATTCTGAAGCCATGATTCAGAATTAGGGGTTTAAATCACCTTCAATCAAGAGGGGGTGGTTTTAGAATCATGATTTGAGCTAGTTTAAAACATCACATCAGATTCTGAATCATGATTCTGAATCATTCAAACTAAAAACTAATTCTGAATCATGATTCAGAATCATTCAAACCAAACACTAATTTAGAATCATGATTTAAAATCACTGTAAATAAATACTGATTCTGAACAATGATCCACCTACTAAACACACCCTAAAGCTACCTATTACACCACATAAAGTCAACCTTAGCTGATGACAAGACACACTAACAACATTAGACAGTGGGAAATCACCTTTGTTATTGCGTGACTAAAACCAAATTATTACAAAAAACACATAGCAACAAGTAAATGGAGGAAAGGCATCACCTCTATGGAAACAAGGAAAAACTAAAATCAAAGAAAAATTCTTAGGCCTCATTTCGCTGATTTGAGTTTAGAATTCGAGTTGAGATGTAATTTTATGTGAGAGTTTTTTACTGTAGTAAAAAAGTTAGATGTGACTGTTTGTGAGAGCTTTTTACTGTAGCAAAACTCAAATTCTAAACTCGAATCAGCGAAACGAAGGAGGCCTTAAATCACGAGAGAGAAATTTCTGACAACATAACAACTTTTGATGCCAAAAGAAACGGAGCAAGCACCAAATTTAGACAGTTAGGGCCTGGGGGCGCAACATAGTTATATATCTAGGGTCAAATGAGTATCAATTAACATGTAACTTTATCATAGAGATTTGTATTTAGTAAGGGGATTCGTACCCTAATTTGAATCATGGTTTATGGTTCGTTACGGTATTTTTTCTCATAAAAAATACACGTAAATTATAAATTTTATAGTGTGTACGTGTGCGTGTGTGTATATACAACATATTTATATACACATAAATCATAGTTCGCTACAGTATTTTTTCTCCATTGAAGAACCTATCGAAGAACTCTTCTTCACTGCTCTTCTTGTCATAGTTTCAAAACTCAAAGCATTTCCAAACTCAAATATTTAAAACCCTGAGAACATTATTCTCCTTTTTAAAGGTTTTTTTTTGTTTTTTTTTTCCTTTTTACCTCTAAGTTAAACATCATAAATTTTATAGTGTGTACGTGTGCGTGTGTGTATATACAATATATTTAGTATATATTATCGGATTGAAGGTGGCCGAGACAGGGAAGATTGCCCCATCCCTATATTGTATCCCTCATACCTAGATACTCATATCTATTATTGATAAGGATGTCATCCATGTTCCAGCATTGATAATGTAGAGAAAATTTTTCTTTGCATACGGATAGGGAACCTCTTAGTAGTGTATATTTCAATGAGTTCTATTTTTATTCAGCATTTTCATTTTTATAATTTTTTTTACCATATATTTAAGGTTAATACATCCTTAATTTTAGATCGTTGCATAAGTATCATCCAAATTACATTTAAGAGGAAAATACATACCTTTTGTTGATCAAGAGTTTATTTTAACTATAAAATATCCAAAATATCCCGAAGACAACCAAAAAAAAAAAAATACTGTTAGAAATTAAGAAAAAACAACTATTGTTGTTAGGATCTTAAATTTTACTCTTTCAAATACTAATTGACGTAATATATGATCAGTAATTAATCTTTTATTAAAGTAAATATTAAAAAATTGTTAAGAAAATTAATATTAAAAAGTAATCTCTTCAATAAAAGTGACAACTCGTAAATTAGTATAAAAAAATTGAGATTCTAACATTATTCATACCCTGTTGATTTTATTTCAATATAATTTTATGACTAGAAGACTCATTGCTACTTCTTTTTCTTAAAGATCAAATCATTTTTTATTCTTTGAAAGGAAACTGAAATTTCACTAAGCTGAAGTGACCAAGTCTCCTTTTACAAAGGAGCCAAGAAACTTTGACAAATAGTCAAATATATTGAGCGCGAACTGCCAACAGCAAATATATATATATATATATATATATATATATATACACATACATACATACACACACATATGCATATTTAAGCCGTGTCTATAGTTACACCAAGGTAATATGTAGAAGTAAAAACGTAACATGATATTTGTTTAATGTAACATTGATATTGAAAGGTGTAATAATAGTGGGAGATAATTTAATATCTAGGTATCTCACATTTTAAATGTCGGTATTATGTTAAACAAAGACTTTTTTTTTTATGAACACCCTCTTAACTTTACGAGTTTAGTAACTTGGTCCCGCGACTTTTTTAATCTTAGCAATTTACTCTCTAAACTTTGAAATTGGTTGTAATGTTTGTCAAATTCATAACAAAATTAAAAATTGAATTGATCCCCCAACATCAAGAGCGAAATTTTTTTTGAATTTGGGATTAATCGTTTTGGGAAAAAAATTAAGAGTTTTCCAATTTCAAAAAAAAAAAATCAATCTCGGTGCGAAAAAAAGACTAGAATTAACCTCATTAAACGTTAACATCGAGGAAACCGTCCAAATTTTTAATTTCATTTTCAATTTGACCAATATTGTAATGAATTTCAAAATTTAAGGGGTGAATTCTCAAGATTAAAAATTGATGACTAATTTGACAAACACGTAAGGTTGAGGGGAGTCGGTGCAAAAAAAAAGTCGTTAAACAAATGTCATGTTAGGTTTTATTTCTACACGTTTTGTTAATGGGACATATATATATATATATATTATCACTGGTATCTCAGAATTTTAAGGTTATTCTCAATTTATTCTCTAAATTTTAAAAACTCTTTACCCCCTAAATTTTGTATTTTCTCACTTAATCACTTTTGTTGTAATTTATGTTAAAACATATATAAAAAATAGAGTAATACAATCACATAATTTGTCTGTTTAAATTTCTATTAAAAACAAATAAATAAAAATCACATAGCCACCCATATCTCCTTCTTTTTCCATCTGATTTCAATAGAAATTCATATAAGAAGGTTTAGGAAAGACTGTAGCAAAAAAGTTAGATGTGGCTGTTTCTAAGAGTTTTTTACTGTAGCAAACTCGAATTCTAAACTTAAATTAGTGAAATGAACGGGGTCTTAAATTGGACAAATTCAAAATTAAATGGGAAGAATGAAAATTTTCAAAATTTAAAGGGAAAAAAAAAAGAATCCAAAGTTCATCCCCTAACTGTCCAACGCAACAAAACTAGTGAGCTTTTGACCGAGTAGCAAATTGTTTGGTTGGGAGATTCATCCCCTGATTCGAATCATGGTTCGTGGTTCGTTACAGTATTTTCTCTCACAAAAAATACACGTAAATCGAAAATAATTCTAATCACATGGTTCTAATCTATGAACCAAACATCAAGTTACATTATTTAAGCCCTCGACGTGATCTTATTACTAATTTGCCATTTAAGTACGTAGCATTAAAAACATTTCTGATCTTAAATCTGCATGTCGGTGACACAACACAAGCAGGAGTCAAAATTACGGAAATATATAATACCACTAAGAACAAAAACTAAAACAAAACAAAAAAAATCATCAAGGCGCGTATATATACATTCTCTTCTTTAAAAACCACCAATAATTCAATAAAGAAACCGCAGGTATGAAAAGCCTGGAAGAAGAGCATTTGTTTAACCACACGCGCGCCACGGGAGGCTTGGAAAAATCTATCGTTTATCATTTTTTGTTTTTGCTATATGTTTACGTAATCAGAATATAGACAATACATAAACGATGCTAATTATGGGTTTGATCATGTGAGAATATTTATGGGTTTGAGATTAAAAAAAATAATATAAAGAAAAGAAAGAAAATTTGAAGAAGAAATGTAAGAGAGAGAAACAAACATGGGAATGGTGAAGAAGAGTGGGGGGATTGGCCGGGAATCCCGCCAAGGTGT